TTCCGAACTCTGTACATGTCAATTGTAATCTTCTCTAATCTATCCTCTAGTGAGTGCAGAACTGATTTGCCAAACCCCTCTTTGCAGTTATAATCTTTGAGGCTTTTAGTCATCTTTTCCTGCAGTGATGATTTCAAGTTTCCTCTTTTCTTTCACCTTTGTGATTATTAGGGTCTCATCGTTCTAGGCACTTTCCAACCTTGTCATCCTCTCTTATTAATAGGAAATTTGATAAATCATGTGTCAGGCTTTTAGTTACCATGTCTTTTTTCATTTATTCATCATAATACTGCCTTACCAATCATTTTATCTCATTATCTGCACATTTTTAAACATTCTTAAAAACTATACGCCAAGTGGACCTGTAAATTATCTTAGGAGCAATCTGTGACTGCAGACTTAGAGAGCACCCTACTGGTGTCATTATTGAAATGCAGCCATAGAAACAAATCTGCAAGCACAGGTAAGATTAAACTAGTGATGTTTTAAACAATGATGTTGATAGAATCTGTGATTGCATTAGTGTCTATTGCATTTAGTAGCTAAGGTAGTAATAGTGATACAGTGATGCAAGTATCAACTGTTGGATAATATCTGTTCACACTTAGATTCATGGAAAATCTGCAAACAGAAGTCCAAGAAATGGAATTCATAAAGTTTTCAAAGGGTTTGAATGTCATGAGAAAAGAAGACTTCGCAGAATGGTTACTGTACTTCACCGATGAGGAAAACAATGAAATTTACTGGCAGAATGTGAAGGACAGAATTGAGGCAGGAGAGGTTGGTCCATAAAGCATGCTTTGGTTTGCTTCCTCGTTTGTATGTACAGGTTTTCATTTGAATATAAGTATCTCATAATGTGACTTGTTTCCAAGTGAATTATTGCAGCTTTTGAATTTTATGCAAATAAGAACAGTGATAATTTGCCAACTGAGAAATACAAATATTGACGACGAGTGAGCAATCACACCTAAACACTAGGTCCTGCCAGATTTAAATAAACAGGTTTACTGGTGTTTGAATGTATTTGTCATTATATATCATCTGAATTATGTTATGCTCTAGAATATCAGTTTGGAAGAATTCAAGACTTTTTGCAAGTTTACAAACAACCTGGAAGACTTTTCTATTGCCATGCAGATGTTTACTGTAGCCAATCGTCCTGTTAAACGGGGTAAGTGCTGCACACCTTTTGTATGTATTTTTTAAAAAAAGAATAAATGCATTTTTGGTACAGAATTAATGTAAATAAGTTATCACAAAATAGCACTAAGAAGTCAAAAAATATTATACTCCTCTTTATTCTGAATTAATTCTATTTCGTGAACAAATAATAATATAAAGTTCCCAAAATTTTTTGATTTGTAAGTTCCAATGTGCCATCATATGCTGAACTGCTCACAGCAGACTAAACCATAGAATCAAAATACTTTGAGTTGTTCGACCCTTTTTCAGTTTAAAGCCATTCCCCCTTGTCTTATCACTACATGTCCTTGTAAACAGTCCCTCTCCAGCTTTCCTGTAGGCCCCTTCAGGTACTGGAAGGCTGCTGTAAGGTCTCCCCGGAGCCTTCTCTTCTCCAGGCTGAACAACCCCAACTCTTTGGGCCTTTCTTCACTGGAGAGGTGCTCCAGACCTCTGATCATTTTCGTGGCTGTAGTGGTTTACCCCCAGCCAGCAACTAAGCCCCACACAGCTGCTCGCTTACTCCCCCCTTAGTGGGATGGGAGAGAAAATCAGAAGAGTAACTGAGAAAACTCGTGGGTTGAGGTAAAGACGGTTTAATAGGTAAAGCAAAAGCCACACACACAAGCAGAGCAAGACAAGGAATTCATTTACAACTTCCCATGGGCAGGCAGGTGTTCAGCCATCTCCAGGAAAGCAGGGCTCCATCACGCATAACAGTTACTTGGGAAGACAAAGGCCATCACTCCAAACGTTCCCCCTTCCTCCTCCTTCCCCTAGCTTTATATGCTGAGCATGACATCATATCCCTTTGGTCAGTTGGGGTCAGCTGTCCCGCCTGTGTCTGCTCCCAGCTTCTTGTGCACCCCCAGCCTCCTCACTGGTGGGGTGGTGTGAGGAGCAGAAAAGGCCTTGGCTCTGTGTAAGCACTGCTCAGCAGTGATGAAAACATCCCTGTGTTATCAGCACAGTTTTTAGCACAAATCCAAAACATAGCCCCGTACTAGCTACTATGAAGAAAATTATCCCAGCCAAAACTAGCACAGTGGCCCTCCTCTGGACTCACTGCAACAGCTCCATGTCTCTCCTGTACTGGGGCCCCCAGAGCTGGATGCAGTACTCCAGGTGGGGTCTCACAAGAGCAGAGTAGAGTGGGAGAATCACCTCCCTCGACCTGCTGGTCATGCTTCTTTTGATGCAGCCCGGGATATGGTTGGCTTTCTGGGCTGCTAGTGCACACTGCTGGCTTATACCCAATGTTTCCTCCACCAGCATCCCCAGGTCCTTCTTCATAGGGCTGCTCTCAGTCCAATCTAAATTCTAGATTAGGAAGGATTTATTGAAACACTACATGCCTTAGTAGCAGTTCATGATAACAAAGCTTTTTCCTCATAGTGAAACTAGTTTTCTGAGGAAACTAAACAATAGAAATCTTTTCTTTTGGAAGGTCTTTACCATCTTGCTGTGTTTTACTTATGCCTCCAAACTGCCTTCTCCATGTGCGTAAGTAGCATTATGCAATCAGGGCTATGAAAAACAATGTAGTAAAGCAGGTTTTAAAATAAAGATTTGGAGAAGAGAAGTTGCTTCTTTCCCATTTAGTAGAAACAGGAGCAATGCAGCAAGTTTCATGGACATACAAATGCTTTTTGTTGTAATCCTGAGGTTGTTACTTGTTATACTTGAAAGACAGCTCTCGTAAGTTACTCAAAAATAGTAATGTAAAAGGTTCCTAAGGAAATTTGAGGAGACATTAACATTCATTGAAATAAATATTTGATGGGCTCCTGTGAAAAAGGTGAGAGAGATGTGAGAAGACAGGAAGAGAATTCAGTATTCTTGAGAGAGAAATGTTTGGATGGGGTTTGAACCAAAGAAGGCCAAAAGCGAAGGGGTTTACAAGTTGTGATTTTCATCACTAGTTAGTCCAGCCTTCAGGAAGAGTTTTATTTCCACAGCCTCTCCAGGCAACTGTTCTAGTGCTTAACCACTCTCATCTTGAAGACTTCTCTGTGTCAAACCCTTGCTGCAACTTATGGTGATGTGTCTTCCTTCTGTGCACCTTTGAGAAAAACATGGCGCTCTCTTTTCTTTAACTCCTTTTAGGTAGTTGAAGGCTGCAGCGAGATCCCCCCTTACACTTCTGTTCTCCCCAGCTCCCTCACCTTCTCTTCTTCCATCATGTGCTCCAGCTCCCAGCTGGGTTCGTGGTCCTCCTATATGGTTTGACATCTTTCTTCTGTGAGGGCAGACAGAATTTATTTGCGTTAAGGTGTAGAAAGAGTGGAGAGGAAAGAGGATGAATTAATGGTGAAATAATAGTTATAAGTGAGATAGGAGAGTTTATCTCACTTCTCTATTAAGTATCACACTTTTAAGTGCCAAAGAATGAGGCGGCCAACAGTTGGTGTTGACTCTGGTAATGTTTCCTTATAAAAACTCATTCCTAACCAACAGGCAGCTGTGACTCTGTTTATGCACTGAACCGTACTGTGATCGAAAACAGTCAGCTTCTGAGGTAACTCACGGATGTTACAAGTACACATCTAATCTTTTCCTGAATCTCACTAAGTTCTTTGTCTTGCTGTTTGCATGGGTGTACATGTGTGTATTCACACACATATGAATATTTAGCTAAAAATAAGACAGTCCTTTAGTCCTTCCTTTTATTCTAGACTTTTTCTTCTAAATTAGCAGCTCATCTTTTCTCTCTGATAAGGTGGTCCTTCTTGGTTTGAAGATTATTGTGCTCCACCATTGCTGAAGATCTTTCTCCTTCATGTTCTGTTCCAAAAAGTGGTGCGGTGCCATCTCTGGATTTATATTTAGCTTCAAGAGCTGAAACAGTTAACATCTTTTTAAAGACAAGATGAAGACTCTACTATAAGCATCTCATATTTCATGTCCATTTCAAATCATGGTATATTATTTTACAGGATTTTTAACTTAATTATATTTAAACCAACTGTAAATTAATCAACTGCATCTATACAGGAATTGTTCAGAGGCAAAGATGACAGCTAAGTGAGGAGTGTTCTTTCCTCTAGTAAGTTTCAAAACTAATCATATTTATAATGCTATTTATAAACAGCACTTGTTTATGAAAGCCGAACCGCATTATTACTATATTTGTGACTTAGCTGGACAACTTGCTGTCATAATCTACAATACTGCTATACTTTAATAACCTCCAGTCCTTCCTTGAAATTCACACTTCTGTGATGCTTTCAAAAATGCATCCAATTCATGTGTTGTGATTGCACTTGCTATAACAATAATTTCACTCTTACTATCCACTGTTTTATGGCACACCCCCCCACATTTCCTCATCTTCCTTGAGTCAAAACTCCAAGTTCTTTACACCCCAAGACCAAAAGTGGGGATAGAAGGTATTACTGTAATGCACGTGGTAGTGTAAAGAGAGAAGGCTAAAAAGCTGAAGAGGAAAGTAGATCTCCAGAGAGGTATGACAGCTTTTTCTGCCATAAATCCTCATAAACTTTTCCATCATAATTTAAGAGAAGGTAGCCTACTTCTTTAAAAAACAGAACTACAGGTATATAAAGCCATGTGATATAAACAGTGTGTTGAGTATTTGATGGTCTGTGTTTCTTCTACAGTGTTGCTGAGGGGATTGTTGGTTGAGGTGGAGCGTATAACAAAATACTGTTCTCTGAGGAGAAGAGTTTTCTTGCAGAATGAATTGGCATGAAACTGGTTCGAGATAAAATAGTAGTATTTTTTATGAGAGCATAGTGAGGCAAACGCTTACCATCCATACGCACAGGTATCAGCCAAAAGTACATAAGTTTTCAGCATGCAGCTCTTGCTAGCAAAATTATCACTCTCACTGTTGCTGGAGAAGTAGTACATTTCAAAAATTTATCCTACAGTGAATAAAGATAGCGTTAGGAAAGGTGAAACAAGCTCAAGAACTCATGAACTGAGTCCTCCTAATAGTTTACTAGTTCACACATCCCAAGTTCTCTAGTTAGGATACCCATGAGACATTGTAAATTGTCCAGAATCCTGCTATTTATGTGCTTTCCAATTTCTTTACAAGTTCACAGTCACCTATGATGTAATATTATGTCTATTATGTCTTCACTAGCTGAGTTCAAGAGAGCAGTGAAGGTGGCAACAGGACAGGAGCTCTCAGATAATGTTTTGGATACCATCTTCAAGATATTTGATCTGGATGGAGATGACTGCCTCAGCCACAGCGAGTTTCTTGGAGTCCTGAGGAACCGAATTCATCGAGGCTTGAGGGTAACAAGCTAACATCACCATTTTAAAAGACCACAGATGATTGCTACAACTATCTTGTCAATGCTCATAGAAACACAAGTAGAGATAGTGAATAGAAAGAAGTTATATTTTAAACTGAAAATTCTTTACTGCTTATGAATCTGGAAGGAGTGCTGCCACCAACAACTTGTTGTTATGCATGTGAACTATGGGAGCAGCAGCATTGCATTACATATTATATTTACACAGTCTGTGAATAAGAGTCTTTTTTGTGTAAATGCTAAACATACTTTAACTTTATTAACAGGTACCACAACAGCAAGGCATTCAAGGTTACTGGAAGTGTGTGAAAAGAGAAAGCATTAAAGGAGCCAAAGAAGTGTGGAAGCAAACTGGGAAAAGTCCTTTTTAAAGCAGTCCATTGTTCTTTTGCTAGAAATGTTGTTATTTAGAGGGGTTTGTCTGTCCTGTTTACATAATAGCTGAATCAAAAACACTCTTTTTTTTTTTAACTATAGTTAAACTTTAATTAACCCAGTTTCTAATGCAATAATTTTATATTGTTCTCGTGCAATCAGTTTGATTTACAGAACTGTTATCACTTTTGACCTCCATACAGAAGTACTCTTGTTCTAGGGAATAGTGCTGTTTACTCCTCTGTGGAGTCTGACCCTGTGCTGTAGCATACAGGATACACAGGATTTAATAGTGGCCGCTGGCAGGAACATCACAGCAATATCATCTGCTGTTGGAAGAGCGGAAATCATCTCAGTTAGCCACTAAAACAGCAATTATCTTTCCCCGGCAAGGATAGAGGTCCAAAAGGTGAAACCACTTGCACAATCCATGCAAATCAAGTTATCGTAGATCAAAAAGGAAAATTCACATGGTTCACGCCCTCAGTACTGTGAACTGCCTGCGTGCTAGTTCCTGGTGGATGATTCCACCAGATACTGTGTGGATGTCTGGTTTGTCTACCTTTATTATGATAATGTTAAACTGGAAATACGAGACTGTTGATACAGGCTTTGAATGTTTTACATTGATCTGTGAATGTGCATTGAGTCTCTCAGACCTCTTCAACAAATAGTATAAATGAGAAGCAAAATCCTCATTCTATCGTAAACAGCGGTAGCTAAAATTTGGGTCATAACTATTTTGCTTTAATTGTAATGCAGAAGGTGAATGTGTAACAAATAGTTTCTTTATCTTTCTAAGGTTGTGACAGGGAATGCTGCAGTATCTCAGGAATTCAAGGTTATAGTAAGCAAGTGTTGGAAATAAGATGTCCAATGAAAAATAAATAAAAATGTTTATTACTCCCAAATACAAAGTTAGATGTAAGATCTTGAACAGTAAACCAAGGAACAGATCAAAATTAACATTTAGCAATTATAGATGAACATTTTTTAGCTATAACATAGTGTGCAACAGGTGTTACATGTTACATGTTTTTTCTTTCTCACAACCTTAGGAGCTGATAGTCCCAGGTCCACGTCAGTCTTCCTGGTTGGCCACTATATACAGGAGACAGACTTATCTGTAAAGCTCTCAAGGTTCTTCCTCTTTCCCTCTCCCAGTTGTCTGACTTGTCTTGGCTGGAGTGAAAGCTTAACCTTTTGAGACAGGTTCATAGAATCATAGAATGATTTGAGTTCATGATAACTGTCTCAAAAGGTGGACTGGGGAAATGTCTCAAGAAAAACAACCAAGAAATCTCACCACTCTGTGAGGAAGTATCCATCCCTTTTAAGCATGACTCTAGCTGTGTTATTCTCAAAGTTGTATATAAGCTCAACAGGAGGTGTTTTGCTGTAATTTCTTTGGGGTTTAGCTGGGGGAGCCTTGAGAAGAGGGAAACCTTCCATGATAGATACCAGAGCAGCCCTCACTCAGATGAGGGGCAGGAGAGGCTGCATTAGGAGACCATAAAGATGTCACATAAGGAGTGCTGAGATTACAGAGAATGTATTTGGTATGTCAGTAGCCATCAGGCAGGCTTGTGCTGAGGAGTCCTTCCTCCTGAACCTCAGCATGGTGGTCTCTCCTAGGGAAACAGAGTGAGAAGCTAGCAAAGCAGCAGCCTGACTGCTGCTCTTCCATCCATGGTCTTCACTTGGAGCTTTAATTTAAATTGTCTTAAAGAGAAAATGCTCGTATTCTTGTCATCTGTGGACGTGCACCCAGAGTCACCAACCAGAACTGCGGTCAACCCACCAGCATGCCTCTGTGGGCGTCCTGAGACTGTATAGAAGATCAGGCACCAGTGACCACCAAGGATCCCTTTACTTCCCCAGGAAACAATGAGAATGAAATAAAATTTAGTAAATGCCTCAGCCCCGCCGCCTCAAACGGAAGTGATGCGCTGCTCTGGAGCAGCAGGAAATGAGATAGCTGGTTTACTTTGTGTGGCTGGAAGTTGCTTCCGTCTGCTGGTGGTGGGATCTGTGAGAAGGAGACAGCTGATGGCAGCAGAGGTGGGGTAATGGGACTGATCACCAAATAGTGAAGGACACAATCGATCAAGGCGCATCTGTACCACAAAAGTGTGTGAGTTCACCCAAAGTGTGCTTTGTTCCAGCTTTGGCTTTAATGCAAGGCTGCCTTGTACTGGTTGCTGTTAATATTTTGGCAAATGATTTTTACTTTGGAATGGAGATTATTCTTTAACATTTGATTCTGTGCAATGTTAATAGGTTTATGATGTTCTTTATTGCTTTTGTGGTTTCTTTTGTTTACTGATTACTTGCTTCCTACAAGCTTTTTTGGTTTTATTTTGGAAAAATCAATTCGTTTAGCTTTAGTGTGTCTAGAGGTTTAATTCCTCATTGCTCATTTGTGTTTGAGTTCATGCAATCAGCAGTATCTGCTTTCGGCAGCAACTTACTAAAAATGGGATTTCAAGCTTTATTTTTTAGCAAAAGCTTTGGTGTCAAGTTCAGAGGAAAAAGAAAAGAGATATGCTTATTTTTAGATGAACTTTGTGGCTGTAGTAAAAAAGAAATTAGATGATTGATTAGGAATTCAAATACAGTTGCGAAACATTTTCAGAAGTTATCCTGAAAGTACAGGCAGGAAGGAACTACTGTCAAGGCCAGGGAAGACTTGTCCATCAGGCTTGAAGAATCAGACTGTGTTTAATCTGTAGTCTATTTTTGTTTGTCTTAACTAAAAGGCTTTATGAAACAGTCTTAAAATAATTTCTCATATTAAATATCTTAGATTGACAGAGCTGTTTACATGTTTAGATTGACCTTGTCTTTTAAGGAATCCATGGTAGTTTTTGCGTTAGATGTTCTTTTCAGTTCTTTTCAGTAACTTTATAGTATTTGCAAGCTGTCTGTCAGTATTACTTAACACAATTTAGTTGAAAGTTTATGCCAGCTGCCAATCTATCAGTTAAACTTATCAATTAGGACTTTTTTAATGTTAGGAACTCTTCCTTTGAACAGAAGCATGTAGAAAAACTAAATAAAATTGGATTTTTAAAAAATCTCCAACATTGTGTCTGAATGTTATGTGGAATAAAGATGAATACATTGCACGTTGCAGCAGTCTCAAAAATTGATTTAACATATTTCAAAAGGATACACAAGAATGAGTACAAGTCATTTACAGCATATAATTCATGTACAGAATTTTAGTTGTATCCCCGTAACAACACTTGTAAAAAGTAAAATGTAAAATTTTTACAATGTAAGATTTCTTTCAGTTTGTTTAGTTTAAGATAATTGTTTAAGAACATCTATTCTTCATTTCTAAAAGAAGCAAAGGCAAAAATGCAGAACGAAGAGAAACTCATCGGTTGTTTCTAGAAATTAATTTTGGTGTCTCAGTTTATGCAAACCTCCTTCTAAAAGCAAAACTCCCTCTGCAGCCAAACCAAGTTCATGGGTTTTAACAAAATAAGCAACAATGAGGAGCACATATTCTGCATATAAGAACTGAAAAAGAAAAGTTTTATCACGGTGTTATATGGCTGCATCAAAAGCAAATCTCTGCTTTACTCCATCTCCTCCAGTGTGTTGTCTCCTTTCAGGGTTCAGACAGGTTGGCACTGATTGAGCCTGGAGACATGCCAGCGCCTGAGCTGAACTCGGGTATCATCAGGGTGCGTTGGCTCGTCTGTTGAACCAGGTATTATTAAAAGGGTGAACAATATGTTCATTCAGGGGAGAATATCTGAGGGGTTTATAATTTTAGGAATTATAAACATTTTGTCTCTGGACTCCAAGGTGTCTCAGAGCCTATAGAATTTTGGGTGTAGATATCGGACCATGTCCTGGCTCGGAAAAGTTTGCAGATTACACTTGAGTTTTATCTTGAAAGCAGAGATAAAACAATAAGATAAACAAGCCAGGCCATGGATTGTGGTTTCATTGCACTTCACATGTGCAGTACGTTTAACAAAAGACGATCACTGCCCAACAAAGAACTAGAATGGAAACAAACCCGGGTATTCAGAGGAAGTGTTTTAAAATTCAGGCATATTGACCTTACTTTGACTTAGGCATAGAAATGGATCGATAAATGTACATCAGAATTTAAAAATACAGTTTTCTTCTCATGCAAGAGTTCTCATGGGAGAGTGCAAGCATGTCTCATGCCTTCAGATTTAATCTTTACTATAAAACAGTCACAGCTGGGGCAGGAAACTACTTCAATGTAGAAAAAAATCTTAAGTCCTTCTGAACAGAAAATACGTGTCTGAATGATGATGTGGTCATTATTAATGAGATCCAAGTTGATCGAGCAACAGCTCCTGTAATCCAGCTGGTCTCAAGGGAAGCATGAAGATGAAAGTGGTGGATGTAGACACACTGTTAGCCCCCAGCTGACCACAGAAAGTCCTCCGAGAGAAACTGAAGATGTGGCCCAACAGGCAGTGGAAAGCCCTGTTCAGGACAGGAAACCTGAGAGGCTTGAGCATGCACAAAATTAATCAGCAAACAAGTGCACATCTCTTCACGCTCCTGCTATTTGATGGTTTCCTGCTGGCTTTGTTGATTAAATAACTCCTAGTTGGTTCAATAATAAAAAAATTATGCAACATATGCGGAGACAGATTTCCCATTAGGCTGGTATTGGCTTAGTTAATAATGTTTTCAGTTCATTAACCAGAGTGCCCTAGCACAGAGCTCTGCTCGCCATCCTCGGAGCCACGTAGCTGCTCCTGCACACTGGCCTCCGGAGGGAAGACGCTTAACAGTGCGCACACCTGCGTGGTTTTAGAAAGAACACCTTGTGCCCTGAAAAGCAAAAAGCCATGCTTTTCCACACCCACGTTCCTAATGTGAAGCTTGTTCCTTCCTCTTCTGGCCCTGGCTGGGAGTGGCCTGCCTCTCTGTGCTGAGCAGGTGGTGGAAGTAACATGGAAACCTTGCAAAATGTAGGGTTTCTGTTGGCCCCATT